CTGAAGTTGGACGCCCCTGTTCTAAACCCCCCAAACCCCTGAAGGCCCAGTTATCAGGGGACCAGAACATGATTCCCATCATTTTGGCAGAAATTTCACAGGGTCAAGGAGAAGCAATTTAGGGAGAGAGCTGGAAAAACATCCCCCAGACATCCAAACAAGCTGTTTGCAAGGCAGACGTGAAGGTCTAGCAATTTGGGCGCCCCAAGGTTACACACCAGGGCCTACTTTTCCAATCTTTGTTTGTACGAAGCAATCAAATATTTGGGCTCAGCCCTCCCACTGAAAATTTACTCAGAAACACGGAGGGTCACGAAAACAGCTCTGGCGCCTTCTGTTTACCAGAAAATAGGCATCTACGTGCTGACCGGAGAAGTGTGCAATATTGGGATTAAAAACGGACAAAGGTATCTCGGAGTATTGCACACCTCTGTTTGGGTTCAGGCAGCACGTAGAACCAGGTCAATCATAAACTTAATTCCTGCCTTTATATCACAGGCTCGGTTGGCTTTTGGCTAGAGGATTATTATTATTATTATTATTATTATTATTATTATTATTATTATTATTATTATTATTATTATTATTATTTCCCGGTTCAGCTACATAGTGCAAATAAACTCAGACTGAATGATATGTTTCTGATGAGGAACCCCCAAAATTAATTCCTTAGGATAAACAGGTGGTGGGAACGCAGCGTGAAACAGGTTGGCTTTCGTCAGCACGTGTGTAGTTATGGAAAGTACTTGATTTAGAACAGTTCATTTAGTGACCGTTGGAAGTTACAACGGCACTGAAAACAGTACATACAGATCAACAGAGTTGGAAGGGACCTTGGAGGTCTTCTAGTCCAACCCCCTGCTCAAGCAGGAGACCTTATATACCATTCCAGACATATGAGTGCTTGGAGGGCTTAATATGTACCCTGCATCCTTGCCTTCTGGATTTTTGGGCTAGAACTCACATCGGTCCATTGCAGAGAGCACGGAAGCACAGCACACCGGAACGACGGGTCTAGGAAATGTTTAGGACCCCCCACAACTTGATTCCAATCTTCCAGCAGAAACTCCAGACTGGAAACTCTGAGAAAACTGGACTTCAACTCCCAGAATTCCCCAGCCGGCATGGTTTAAGAGCGGTGGACTTCCAGAATCCCCCAGCCATCCTGCTTTAAGATGGAAGGACTTCCAACTCCCAGAATCCCCTAGCCAGC